CTTATATACATCATCAAGTAAACCAATTCTTAAAACTAAACTTTTTGGTTCTATTTCAGTGTGCTATCGTCTAAAAAAGTCACCAGAGTTTGTTTTTCAGCTTCTAATACATTTCTTACAAAAAACATTATCTTTTAAAGTAGTATTTCGATTGAAGTTACACGGGCTGCTAAAAATATATTACATGCTCTTAGCCAAAAAGGTATATTTATAAATAGAGAAATACAAATTTAACATACTCTTTAATGCAATGGAATATTTAAAAGGCTATCAAATTTAATTTTAACATTTTTAGTTTTTACCTGTTTCAAAAGAAAAAATAATTTTAATGCCATATGTGATTTGCTACAGCAGTTTGATATAGTCAGATGTTCAGTTTCATTAAAGGCAAATGTGTATGCAGAACTAGGAAATAATTGTCAGGACAAATTTTGCTATTTCATGGACTTGAAATTATATTTTTTACGCCTGATTTTATCTGCAAACAAGTACTGTAATTGCAGTTATCTTTTTTAACTAAATTCAGCTAATTGCTGTCTTTTTCAGCACGCAGATTTCTCGCTATAATATTAATTCAGAAATAAATATTTTTTATCGAAACATTCTTTCCCTAAGCGAGCTTTCATTGCTACTTCTGCCACTATTGGTGACAACACCTGATTGCTTCTTTTTTACCCCGTGACCCCAACGCATCTGCAGACATACGGATAGAAGTTGAACTCCATCCGTACGTCATGCATCACCCCACATTGCAGATGTCAATCAAAGTGAATTCGCACGCTGATTGGAGAAACACATATGCAGCAGTGGAAACGAGCCTTAATTCGAAGGAAAATCGCAAAAAGAAAACAATAGTCCCTCAGGGACAAAGCCCTTTAGACAAAAAAAAACTAATATGTAATAAATAGCATGTTTAAACAAGAGAATATACATTAGAATGTAAGCTGAATATTAAAATATTAAAAATCAAAATCAAAGATATGATGGAAAGTAATGCAAACCATCTAGGTGAATGCAGAACATTTCATTTCCAAGGCCTGATTTTTTATTGTCTTGATTTACGAGAACAAGATCTTGGATACCTCATAATCTGATTTTTTTTAAGGGATGGAAATGCTCACTGAAAGCACTTAAAAAACTACAGTGCATAGAATTCCAGGTTAGCTTAATAGGCTATTGCGTATTTGGAATGGATTACACTAAATCATGTAACTAATTGAAAAGACTAAAGCAAAACAAACAAATAATTAAAAATTCATTTATTGAATTTCACAGGAATATAACAGACTATATACAAATAGTTATTTCTCTCTCTCACAGAGTTCACTGCATTTTCTAAAATGCACTTGGAGTAATCTGTAAATGCTGTAAGTTCAAAAAACAGTAGTGAATGGTTTGAACATTCTTTGACTCCTTTTTTACAAGAAATAATAAAAAAGTGAAGCATAAATTGTTTTATGTATTATCTAAAAGATTTCCTCTTGCACTCATTCGAAGGAAATCTTAAGTTATTTATTTTAATTTTGCAACTTTGAAAAACAAAATCACTGTGCATTCATGTTTTTAGCCAGGAAAAATGGTTTACTAGTACACCTCGAATGCATTTTAAATAAGGCACACAAAAGTGCATGGAATACAAATTATCTAAAATCTGCTAGATGATGAAGAAATATTCGTCAACAGAAATCTGCAGAAAATAAAAAAAAAAAAAAAAAAAAATTATGAACAGTATAAAATTTTAGCAACAGTAATTTCATTGTGTTGTTTGGTAGCATCGTGCTATAAATATGACAAATATAACCTGAAACAATATAGAACTAAAATAACGCTGTTTTTTATAGTATCGATTTTATAATAAAAACAAAACTGGAGAAAATTAAATAAATTTTCATTCATTTTAACGTACATTTTGTAAAAACAGTTTTCTTTTTGACTTAGGAGGTGATACTTTAATGTCAGAAAAAAATTTAAGCATTAAAATAGATCATTCAACAGAGCTAAAAATTATGCCAATGGTAGAAGCTGTTTACCTTGTTTTTAAATAACAAGACTTTGTTAAGTCTCACAGAGAAAACAGCTGCATTTTTCTTTTTTGGAATGTTGAGACAAAAGCTTAAGAAAAACTTGATGATAAGAGTCATGCTTTTAATTATGACAGATCTTAGAAGCCTGATCATTTTGTTCTGTTGGTATTCAGAAAAGTTATATTAATAAGGCAACATGTAACTTCTAAATCTTCAAATATAACTGAAAGTATATTACATAATCTACACATATACATTCACACAGTTACATTAATCTCAAAATTACTAATTACTACAGTAATCTCTTAAAAAATTATATTTTTTTAATTTGATGTTTATTAATTATGAGATAATTTATAAATATGCTTTATAGATTTAAATATTGCTTTGCTTCGAACACTGAAAATTTATGAAATGACATAACGACTGTAAACTACACAATACGCAACATAATGCCTGAAGTATATAACTTATTAAAATTAATTTCGAATTCAATCACAATCAGTTTAAAATCATAATAATACCTAAAAATAAATTGTAACATATTGTCATGATTGCTTGATAAAAAGCTATGAATATCCCAAATTCTATTATAATTTTTACTTAATTCACAGGTGTAAAAGTAATTATGCTAACAAATTTTAAGAAATATTGATGAAAATTAACATCATTTCAAAACAATTTGTATTTTTCTGACATTCGTTCATACACATAAAATGGGATGAAATAGACAATATTTTCGTCAACAAAGAAAGCCTATTGAAATTAATTTTTATTTTACAAAAAATTGGCATATATAAAATACTTGATATAACTATCAAGGGGCACACGCCCTTATCATGGATCTGTGAAATTGTTTTCGTCGAGTTTTAAGATTTTATCTGCGTTTGATTTAAAAAAAAAAAAATTTTCTCAATTCTTTTATATATATTTAACAGAAAATTACTTTACATTTGCTTTAGAACAGCAGTTCTCAACCTTTCGACTAAAGCGTACCTTTTTCAAAAATTGAGAAACTTTAGTACCACCACTACATTTTACAATGATTATTCTTGAATTTCTCGATAGAAATATTAAAAAATGTATTTTACCATTTGCACAGCCTATTGGCTATTTGTATTAAATATGTACACATAAAAAAAATGTTAGATTAAAAATTGGTTATCATATTAACTGTCAAAATTTTAAGTTATAATGTTTTAGTTCAAAAAACTGAACAAAGTGCAAGATTTTTGGGCCTGTTTAAGAAAGATCAATTTCTTTATGTCTGATCTTATTTCACTTACTTTTAACCGCTAATTAGGATCTACTTTTCATTTTATTCTGTATTTATTTTTCAAATATAACATGGAAGAAAATTCTTCTTCACACAATTAGGTTTGCAAAAAGGCAATAAAAATTTAAGTGCTTTATTTGAAATTCATTTAAATGCTTTTTTTAGGCTCAGCCAAAAGTTAATAAGTGTGTTATTTTTGAAATCTTCAGTTAAAGTTAGATCACAGGAAATATCTATCAACTGTTCTTTTTCTCCACGAGATAAAATTTCAGGTACATTTGAACAAAATGTATTTCTAATGCAATTTTCTTTTTCATAATCCTCAGGAAAATACGTGCTGAAATTATTTATCAATAAAAAACAATGATTTTTAATGTCTAATGCTATTTTTTTCTTTTATTTTCAAATTATTTCTGGTTAGAAAACTTTCTAAAAGTGGTAAAAAGCTTAAAATATTATTATCCAATTCTTTGATTATTAGCTCAAGTTTCGTTATCATTGCATTTATTTTATTTGTAATAGTAAACAAATTAATGCTTTGTCCTTGTAATTCTAAATTGAATTCATTTAGCTTTTCAAAAATATCAGCTAAATATGCTAAACACACTAATCATAATTTACTAAATAAACAATTTTGCAGTTCAAATTCATAGAGGAAATTTGAATTTCTGATCGAAATTCAAAAAGACAGTTTAAAATTTTATCTTTGGATAACCACTTAACTTCGGAATGTAGGCGTTTCAAGTTCACTGTTCATTTCATGGCATAAAATCGAAAATATTCTTGAATTTAAAGCTTGGCTTTTAATAAAATTAACAATTTTCACAGCTTGATTCAAAACGAATTTTAAGTTTTTAGGGTTTGTTTTGGCTACTAAAGCTTTAGGATGACTGGAGCTATAAGTAAATTTAGTTTCAAGTGCGACTTTCCTTATTTGAGAAATAACACAAAATGTTTCCCTGTTAAAGCCCAAGTTCCGTTGCAGCATACGGCAATGAATTTATTCCAATGAATATCATTCTCTGACATAAAATTATCAATTACTTTGAAAATTTAATTTGCAGTTGCTCTTTCATGAAGAAATTCACAAAATAAAGACTCTTTGGCAATTCCTTCATCTCCTTCGAAATGCATGTAAGTAATAACTGAACAAATGTAAACTAATAACTGAACAAAAATCGTTATATCGGTACTTTCATCCAACTGCAATGCAAAACACTCACTGTGTTTTGTTTTTTGAATAAGAGTTTCTTTTATAGAATTAACCATTTCATGAATTCATCGACTTCAATGTATCATTTGATAACGGACTATTAAGTTCATCAGCCGCTTTTTCGTTGAATAATGTTAAAACGATATCTTTAGCTGCTGGTAATATAAAAGTTTTCTCCAATAGTATGAGCCTGCCCAGTCTTGGCAATTTTTAGACTTAGTATGCAACTAGCTTCTAAAGCTTTTTAATTAACAAAAACTTTCATTACTTGTTTGCGATTTTTGAACTCCGATAATTTACTCTTAAAATTTTCTTCAGATTTATCCTTCAAATTAGCATGATTAGATTCAAAATGTCTTTTAAGAAAGGATGGTTTCATACTTTGATTGGTTAACAGTTAACCGCAAACAACACACTGAGGTTGAGATTCCATCTCCATTCGAAATAAATCCAAAATGTTAAATAACTTTCAATATATTTTTTAAAGTTTTTTTTTTTTTTTTTTTTTTTTTTTTTTCTTTTCAGTATTCTTAGTGTTAGTAGATTGTCCTGGATCCATCACCTGTGAATCATCACTTACAATTACGCTTAGTCAATCATAGTCATTTTTCCATTTGGAAAATCAAAGGTTTGTTTTATTATTTTTTCACAAATATTGAAATGAAAGATATATTAAGAGTTTTTTAAAATCAAACGACTATATTCTCAAATCGCGTAGAAGAGTAAGGAATAAAAGCCAAGAAGACAAAATATCTGCTCTTATAGACAACAAATCTACATAAAAATGATTCTAATAGAGAAATACGAGTCTGGAAATGGTGACGACATAAAGTTTAGACATGCTAATAAATCGATCAACTCTATTTCTTATCAAATACAACATTAATTTCTATAACTTCTTTTAAAAACACCATTTATGACAAATTTTATTATGCATATGGCTAAAAGAATATTTGTGAAAGTAAAAACAGATTATTTTGCTAAAGTCTATGAGTGGCTATTGATTTTCAACAAAGCTCAGATCGCATAAATTTACAAGTGTTAGAGAAAAAAATGTAAACAGGATGTTGGGGTATTTAATTTTTGAATTCAATAGTTAAAAAACACTTTGTTTATTTGCATACCATCTATTTTTTTCTAGCGTACCCGGTTGAGAATCTCTATAACATTTTTATTTTTAGTAGTTTCCAATTTATACATTTTTTGATGAAAAAGAGAGCATAATTCTGGCATGGCAATACTGATCAGTTCTATAAATATGTTACTTTTGGGAAAACTAATATAGTTATTTGAAGTGAATATGTTAATACTTTTTCTTTAGTATGCTACCTTTTCAATAACATATATATACAGCAACAGAAGTGTAGAAATCAAACCTATAACTGATAGATTTCATAATACTAATTCTTAAAAGGAAAAATGGTATAATATTTCTTTTAAACTCGCATATTTGGAAAAAAGTCATCATTACAGACATAAAATATTAGAATAGCATTCTGAGGTATAAAACAAATCTGCAGTATTTCATCGAATCAGTAACATCTTAGATTTGACTAAATTTTAATCAAATTTATGTCTGTAATGAAGAGAAGAATTGTTAAGCACCATTTTACCTTCCAGAATTTTATACATTTATCTCTAATGTAAAATTTTAAATTAATCACTTACACAAATGATTAAACATAAAAGAAGTATACTAAAAATGATATGTTTCATCTTCTCCATTGTACTTATGTTATATGAAACATAATGTGAGAAATGATTGTGGATTAGGAACATAGTACACTACTTTTAAGTGGTAGAAATGACATCACTATGTAACTAAGCCATAGACCTTAATATAAATCGGTACTTTTCTGTCATATAAGTTCTTATTAAGACTCATTAGGAAACATTGAGCAATATTTCCACAACCTTAGAACACTTGGAACACTTTCCACTTTAAAACTAGCTGAAATAATTGCACTGACTGTAAGAAAGAGTTTTATTAGCGCATCATGCATGCGGATGCTCTTGAATGTTATGAAATCTGTTTTTGAAAAGCACTTAGTTATCACATTTTGAGAACTAAAAGGATGAATGTAAATTAAGTAAGGCATATTACTTCAATGATAAAATTACATGTATATTTTTTGAAACAATCTTTTGGCTTGTACTTTCTGTATGTTATTCAAAACTTGCAATCAAATGAGCTATATAGAAATTAGCTTTTTATATAAACTTCCTTTAAAATGCCCAGAATAATTTTGTTTAGATAACATACCCACTAAACTAGCCTTCGAGCAGATTTGAAATTGTAAAAAAATAGTATTTTCATAATGACTTAATCTTCATGAAAATCATGAGGTATTTAGTGGTAAATCATGGTTTTGAGAATTTTAAAATGCATCCAACACAGAAGTTTCTGTTTCCACAAAATGTGCAATGAGTTCTGGTTTGGAACAGAAATGTTTCTAAGGAATTCTGACACAAAATTTCTTCAATGGCAAAGTTTCTGATATCTTATATCAGTTTATTCTCAAGAGAAACAACCTGTTTATTCTCAAGAGAAACTACAAAATGTGCAATGAGTTCTGGTTTGGAACAGAAATGTTTCTAAGGAATTCTGACACAAAATTTCTTCAATGGCAAAGTTTCTGATATCTTATATCAGTTCATTCTCAAGAGAAACAACCTGCTTCTTGAAGAAACTAATGTAGTGGTATTTCTGAAACGAAAATAACTTTCACTGTGTTTCTTAATCTGAAGAATTATTTAAGTTTCATTACACTCCGATAGCTTTCTAATGCCATTCAAAGATCTTAGATCAGGATCGCCTTAGATCTCTAAGGCTAGGTTTTGCAAACTTTAAACATAAAGTTTCTTTTTACAAGGTAGTAATGGACTGATGCTCATCCACATCAACAACTGTTGAAAGATCTGAGGCGAGTCTCAACTAGAATTTGGCAGATATCACATTGATTATTGCAGGCCTTAAGATGAGTTTTCCGTCACCTATGTTCTCAAGCAAGTATGGACGAATATGAGATCATTGTATTGAAATCTATATACCCTGCAGCTTTGCTGACTTATTCATTTAAAAAGTGTCAAACTCGCGTGCACTGAAGTCCTTCCATATCGATAACTGTCCGACGATCAGCCACGAAATCTGATTTGGGTTCTGCTGATATTACATCTATTATTGTTAGTTTCGACATGGGTGTATGGCACCTGCTCCTGTCTCTCTCAATATTCGGTGAATCCAAGATCTCTGTTCTAATCTCAATGTCTGTAGGAGCTACAAGAGTTGCTGGTTTGTCTTGTGGTTTTCTCTGATAACCATTCCTAACAATTTCTCTCTCTGATCTTTGTCTACATGGTCCATTGGTTGTGAATACTTGCAAAGAACCTCTGCCAAAATTAGCTGGCTGCAAAGTAGGAGATACAGGTAAAGGAAGACTGAAACGTCGAGGTCTTGCAGGTGGCTCCTCTTCTCTCAAAGTCTGTACGAGAGTTAAAAGTTTCTGAATTTTGTGATTATGGTTCCTGTCCTTTAACTCTGGAGCTGGGAAAGACTGCATTCTTTTGAGTGCAGCTCTGTTCCGTGGTCTTATAGTGCGGGTCTGAAAAATAAATTTTTTAATAAGTAAAAATTCATTAAATATCATGGTTTTATGATATTTTTACATACTTTAAAACATATAAAGTTAAAATGGTATCGTGGTGCTTGGTATTTTACATTTTTAGATGAGAGAATAAAATTAGAACTAAAGAAACATTTTAGATTGGATTATTATTCAATTATGATAAAGTACACTAACACTATTTGTCTATGGAAGGAATGCTTCCTGTATAGACATTCTTAAGGGAAATTGGACCATATCATTATTACATATTACGAAAAGCAATGTAAATTTTAACAGTGATGAATCTAAAATATTCAAATAGATATTTTAATTTTTAAATAAAAGTAAAGTAAACAAAATCTAATGAAACCAAACAGGTTTACTGTAATGCAACTTTTTTTAAATGAGTCAAGATAATGGTTTTGAGAAAGATGCTTTCTTTTAGGAGCATTTAAATAAAAGGCATTCTTCTTAAATGTTAATTTTCTGTAATCTTCTAATTCCATCATACCTGAGATTCCCCCAAAACTAGAAAAAATTTGTTGGCAGCAATATTAAATTTGTCTTGTAGAATAATTTTTCTTAAATCTTATTAGAATGGTAATAATTATAACTTTTTTGTACTTTTATTTGATATTATTGATTACTTTGAATTTCAAGTTCTTATAAGTGATGCATTTGTTAAAAATGCATCTACGAGTTTCCATGTATGTTACTACAAGTTCGTTCCCTGGTGACAGAAAAATTTGCAGCATTTTTTGCATTTGAATGCCATGTGAAATTTAAAGACAAGTCAACTCTCCTTAGAATGCCTGTCACGAAAGACTTTTGTCTAAGGCGTGTAGTCCTTTTCTATTTGGATTTCTAAACAACTTAATTTTATATTAATATGCAGCATTTGCTATCTACCTTCAGAATTCGTACACAGAGTTTTGATATTTTTATGACAAACTTTATTTATATATACGTAGCTAACTCTGAAATGTTTTAGATGGGAGCAAACTATATGCGGTAAAAACAATTTTTCATTCGATATCTAAATTCGAATTCTTTTATGTCCACAGACTATAATTTTGGCAGTAACCACAATTTATTTGCCATAGCACAACCTTTGTGGGAAAGGAAAATTTAGATGATGCCAGAGGAATATCGCCTGTGATTTTTTTATGATTTTAAAGTGGGGTTAAATCAAGAAAAATATCTTCAACGTCTAACATTAACATATGGAATGGAAGCTCCATTTTGTGTCACTGTATTCAAATTGTTCATAGAATTTCGCAGAGGCCGAAATTTTCTCCTGGATGAAGAACACAGAGAAAGTCTTGTTAACTATAGCTTCAGCAATCGGCCAAACGAAAAATGTTGACCAATGGTAATCACTGTATTTATAAAATGATACAGAAGGAACTTAGCATTGGATCCGCAGCTATATGTAAAATTATTCTTGAAGAACTGAGTATGAAAAAATTAGTTTGCCATTGGGTTCTCCATAGATTAACAGACTACCAAAAACCGGAGAGTGCCAGTACCTAGAAAGAAAACCTAGAATAACTTAATGTTGGTGGTAAAATAAACTTCTAAAAATTACTTAAATGGTTGTAAAATAAACTTAAGTAAAATTCATACCAGGAACAAACCTACTCTCAAGCGGTTGGAACAAACAATGTCAACATACAATTACGGAATTACAAACTCTAGTTCAGAGGTTCTGAAACCCGGCGGAGAGGGGATTTCGTAGTTTTAAGAAGGGATGCGGTTAAATTTACATGTTAAGTATTTACTTTTAATTTATGAACATAAAAACTACTTTTTTTCAAGTTCTGGTATTTATCCCCATTTTCTATACTTTTCTTCCTTAATTTATCAAACACATTAAAAATGATCTAAACTTTTAAAAAATGTATTTGTATTTTTCGAGTTTAGAAAAACGGAGGGGGGGTCGTCTAACAATGTTAAAAATGGTGCATGGAGCAAAAACGTTGAGAACCACTATCTAGAATGAATAAACAAAATCAGCTACATAAAAATACCAATAGTAGCCAAATCATGGCAAATAATATGAAAAGGGAAAATTATTTATTTGTATAAAATAAATGCTTTTATTTGAATCTTACTTGAAAATGACAAAAAGTATAAATTAAAGAGTAAACACAATACATACAAATATGAAAAATATAAAACTGATCAAAAGCAAAAAATATATAATAAATGAAGTTGTAATTTCACCCATAGCTAATTAACTACTACTTTATTCTTGTCCAAAAATTGAATAAAAAATATAGTGTTGGTGTATTTAATTATGGCAAAGCACACGAGGGCTATAGCCTAAGGGATGCCTTCGTGGAGGACTTTCTAAGGGAAACTGGCTCGTATACACGTTACACATGGGGAAAACCACGAAAACGCCCATGCAGCCAGCCCGTTCGCGGGATTCGAACCTCGGACCGAACTACCAGTGTTCAGCGACTTTACCGCTCGACCTCTGGTGGGCGAATAAAAAATATAGAGCTTAACAGGCACAAATGGTTTTGGTGAAGGCTCTAAGTTTGACTAAAATCTACGCCCGACACAAGGTTGTTTCTTTGCCTAACTTTATGTATAACTTTGGCATGTTCTTGTTCTCTCTCTCGCTAGGTTTTTCAATAACTACATTCTTACTTTTCACATTTTTAAAACAAGATATGTGTCATAAGAAAGAGAAGATATGCGTTTGCAGGACATGGATTTCCATTTTTAAGAAAAAAGTGGAAATAACCAAATTAAAATTAAACTTAAAGAGCTATTACAAATTAAACTTATGATTTAATTTTATACAAACATATATAGGCACATACCGTATTCACAAAAATCCTTACCGGGCGTTTATTTTCACAAACATTGGTTCGAGACATATACTTCCAATTAAAAAATATTTTAAATGACGCAATCACGTTTGGGCATTTTTAAATTAAAGAAATTAGTTTTACAAACATTACGTAATCTAACTTTTAAAGTGGTTCCGGTTCTTGTACTTATATTTACGAAACTTACTTTCTGTATAAAATAAAAACACAATACGTTTGATTTCCATAGGACAAGAATTAATCGATATATTTAATGTCAAAATTTGTGGTTTTTGACGTCATTTTCAATTTGCTTTGAAAGGATCAGTTGATAAGCAAATTAGAAAAGTTCAAAGTTGAATTTTTTCTCATTTAAGTATCATTTATTGATGCTCTATTGCAATTTACTAGTCTCCAATAATCTTTAATTTATAATTTTGTTACAGTTGGTATGCCGAAAGTATTTTCACACAATAAATTTATAAGTTTTCAAACACTAAAATGACATTATTACAGATCTCATGCAGTTTCAATACGTTAGAATCATGATCAATTAATTATGTAGAAAAACTTATTAAATTAGAGAAATTTTTAATTTAAGCAAATAATATTGCAAGCTGGCTATGTGCCAATGTGCTGAAAATTCCCAATGTTTTCTCAAAAAGTAATTTTATATCAAAATTCTGTAAATAAGATCTCTTTTTCGTTCTCAATAATTTACACAGAATAGCTCTTCTTTTCATCTCTTAACATAAAAACCTTTTTCTAAACTGATATTTTATTTCTAATTATGTACAAATTATGTACATTTCATTCTTCAATTTGCGTACGGCCCCTGAATATGATTTTTCACTTTAAATAGCTTGGTCAATTTTTGTCGAATGGGAGTAATATTCTTTGTGTTTTATTTTCTATAATGCACATAGCTCTTTTTTCGAAATTTAATTATAGGAAGCGGAGAATATATTAGAAGTCAGATTCGTAATTTTGAAAAGTCTTTCTTAAAGTTAAAAATACCAAAACATAAATATTTGTGTCATTTGAAACATTTTTATGATTTGAAGTATATGTCTATGACCAATGGTTGAGAAAATAAAGGCCAGGTAATGAGTTACATTAACACGGCGCATATAAACATACAGGGAGATGATGAAAATGTCGGTAAAAAATTGCAAAGTTACGCATTTTATTTGAAAATCTCTTTTTTATGGGAATGTGCTTAATAAATACAGGACTACTGGAGAAGTTAAAACAACAAGGTCCAGCGTAATATTCATAAAATATTGCCCCTTCGCCATGCAGCTGAAGAGTGTTTCATATTTAAGCTATACTTAAAGAAGATTCTATAATTAAACCTTCCAAACTAGTCCTGCAAATTTATGAATATTAGGATGATTCTTGTTGCTTTAACTTCTCCAATAATCGTAATTCGGCGTGTTATTTTATAATCCACCTGTATAACTCAGTTACAAGACACCTGAAAACGAATACCAGGATATGAAAACTTGTTCGAAAACTTTTGTACACGTAGAAATAGTTCAAGTGTTAAATGTAATGAAAAGGACCATGTAAAATTTGGTGGATATGAGATAAAGATGTAAAAGAAAAATTATTTGCGATAATCTAAATGATTAAATAAGGACTTATTCAGTTCTAATATGTTGAAAAGCCCCAAGTTCAAATAAAAATGCTTTATTTAACGAGTGTAAGCCAAGAAAATTCTGCGTGTTAACAGTCTGAATAAAGTTCGAAGTGTGACATGTGGCAAATACAATAAATTTCTAATTCTACTTGAAGTAATAAAATACTTCTGTCGTTTGATAATCTTTTTGTACATAATTCATTTTGACAATTTCAATAAATTTTGAATAATATGTTTTGTTAATCTCAGCATTCTTTTCGTATGATCTTATTACAGCAGCATTTCGTATACTTATTACAGCAGCATGATTGGCATTAAATTTAAATACAATAGAAGTTTATGTATTCAAAACGTACCCTAGAAACATCTTGCAGGATGTGGTAGACTTCATCAAGTCTTTGTCCCACCCTTTGTTGAGTGTGATGGATGCTGGAGGACAATTTTCGCTCCACTCGCCTGATTTGTTTACATCGCATCATTCGAGATATATAGTTGAGGATCATGGCTAAGTATCCCAGACCAAATATAATCCATAACACTACGAAAGTTTTGTAAAATCCCACGTAAGGGCCTTCAAAATTGCCTGAAAATATGAAACAAATGTAAGAACAAATATCTTATGAAACAACTTTTATGTGCGAATTCCTTTTTATTTGGTTAAACAAAGACAATGAAATACAAGATATATATATATATGATATTTTAGAACATTAAACTGAAAATTAATGTCAGGACTCTGCTTGCTATCCGTTTCAGTTAACTCTTTGAAGACCATAACGCCCCAGACGGCCTTTCATTCAAACGACCACAACCGCCCCAAACGGCCGAAATTCTGATGTCGTTTTCTTCCCTCCCCTAAGGTATGCAGTAGCAGGTGCAGTTTCCCAAAATGCGTAGACAGGATGACATTTGAAATCTTCACTCTTCTTTGTGCGTTAATGGATGGGGAGGAGAGGAAATAACTGTGATTCTCAAAAACCTTTTTGGGCAGTTCAGTATTTTATGCATACAGGTTAGCGGAAACTTCGGTTTTCAAAAAGTTAATGGGCAAAACATCAGTCAAATCAGAGAATCATAGTGACTTTGTTTCTTTTCACTGACAGTGGGATAGCCAAACCATATCGGCCAGGTAGCTTCTCTGACAGAAATATCTTTGTTCGAGAGGAGGGGGGGAATATGAAGAGTGTTGGACGAATGAGTGGTTCATGGAAGAATAAAAGATGCAATGCGGATGAGAACATATATATAGTTTCCAAACGTTATTGGGCTGTCTCTGACAGAATACGTGATCAGTACTGGAGCTGCAGAAGGACTGACAGAACTTAAATACTGTTATTTATGGTTAATACTTCAACAAAAATTATTATTAAAATCTATAGGTACATACAATATAGATACAAGGTATGACATATTTACATGGATATGCGTGGTACCATCAAATAAGTAATACAAAACTGAACCATTTCTCAGCGACTTTCTTTTCACCATAGATAGAACAGCTGATACACTTGGTTTGGTGCTTATCAGCGTGTTGGATCCCATCAGCATTTAAGCATTCTGTACCGCTCCACACACATGGAGAAAAATCCCTCCTCGTGATTGGATTTGGCTTCCGACGACATCATTTCTTCTACACTTAGGAACGCCTTGACTTTACTTGGGCTCAATGGTACACCTCCATACCATTTGTTTACATTTTGATAGCAGTACCGAAAAGAATATTACGCGAGATGTATTTCTGTTGCTATGAGATTACACTTCTTACAACACTAGTGTGGTGAATTTAATATAAAAAATGTAGCAATTTCTTTTCCTTAGAGAGAAAAAGTATTATTTCTTCATGTGCTAACTCCGTCAATGTGTATTAATTGCAGAGATTTTTAATAAATGTATTCTTAGTTTAAAATCCTTCATATTTGAGATTTTGTGATTATCAATTCATTATTCCATGTTCATTATATACCATGCTCTACAGATGCAATCTCCGAAAGCACGAGACAAGTCAGTTTTTGGAAATAGCAAAAACGGTGTTTGGAGCTAACATAGTACACAGCAAATTAACAATATTTAAAATCATTCTGAAAAAAAGTAAAATTTATTTTTGAAGTTAATAGAGTAGATTTGGAACAGAGAAATAGAGATACGTATTTTAAATTGAATAATATTATTTTATGAATATTGCCCATTTTTTAATGTGTAACGTCTCTTGTACCTTTGCATAAAAATAGTGTTTCTCAGAGAAGGAAGTTTCCTTTCTTATACATGTGTATTTAATCCAGCGACAATACTGAATGCACATTTTTCTTTGATTTAAGACAACAGAATATTAGAAATGTGAAAGACATGGATATTAAACATGGAAATAACATAGTATTTGCAAAGGAAATATTTTCTGCAATATGAAAGGAACAGAATGCAACAAAATTGCAATAATAATGTACTTACTAGTGCACAATGCTTTTACAATTGGATCGAGATCATCGTATTTTGGTTTTTGCACTAAATTCATGAACTCAGCTCTTTTGTAAAATCTAAGCGCTTAAGATTGCTTCTGATATTAGCAACATCTTTGAAAGATTTTATAATTTTATTATTCTATGAAACAGAAGGAAACAAAAGATAATTTTCCTCCTTCTGTGCCACTCGTGCGCGTCATTCAACGAAAACAAAAACCGTAAGAATCCGACCTAAACGTCATTATATCAAGAGAAAATGATGTCATCTGAGAGTATGCCCGATCACAAGTACGGGTTTTCTTCCTATGCGCGTGGCACGGTACAGAATGCTTATATGCATCCCGTCAATGGAATAAAAATAAATGAATAAATAAACTAGAGCTTATTGCAATGTCTTCTGTGATTTCCTTAGGGAATACTGTAAGAAGAATTGGAACAAAATAAGAACATACAAGATAGGAACACAGCTATTACATTATTATAGCATAAGTTGGGCATACAAATAAGACTACTAACTTCAACATTTAGTGATATCATTGAATAAGTTTTATATTATTTTAATCATCTTTAGGCTGGTAGTGAGTTGCTGCTCGAATTATTCTAAAAACACTGAATGTTTTCTAGCAACAATTAGTTCAAGTGGCCCACGATTTGTTTTTTTCTTTTTGAAACACATTATTACTAGCGAATGATATAATGAGTTGCTTCTATATTAAAACATTCTACATATTGATACTGATATAGAAATAATTTAATAGTTATGTAGCTAGCATATCTTGAATTCCAATTAGCCAAGCTGTTAACATAGAGTAATATTTGAACATTTTTGTAGTGCTTTCATTAAAGAGTTGATAGAAATAAAACCAGAATAAAATAAAACCAGATTGAAATAAAACCAGGTAACCTATGAGTTTTGCATCACAATTAATGCACCTGCTCATAATGTTCTTTTTTGGGAATTCTTGATCAAAATTCGACAAATACGGCTACGAAACTCTATAATCAGCTTATATGGCATCCTGTTTATTTTCTTAGTCATTATAAGTGCTTCTTTTCTAAAAACATGAGCAGCATTTTTAAGTTTATTATTTGGTTATTTTATGTCAATTAGAAATAATTCTTTAGTTTAATTTAAAGCGAATGAAAATAGTTTGTCTTCTTTTTTTCGAGGAAATGAGAAGACTTTTGGGCTTAATTTTTAGTACAGTAAATAAAGGCACGACTGCATGTTTAGGGTCTAAGCAAATAAGATTAATTTCACATTTAAAGATTATTGGCGATAAATTATTTTCAGTAATATATTTCACTATTATATTTCACTTATTATCACTTTAATAATTAATGCCAAAAATATTCAGTTAAAATTTCAACATTGTTCCCCTAAATGAGGATTTTACAATTTAGTCTCATACTTTATATCAGAGGAGTACTTTTTTAAAACTACATATTATTTTTTTAAATGAAGTTGATAAAGGTAAAAATAAAATTTCTTTATTTTTAGTAAAATAAATACTTATTTGGACTGCAAAGTATACACGATATTGCAATTATTCGGATTCTTTAAGTATTCAGACAGAATGTAGTCCAGTTCAATTTGGCCGCAGTGGCACTTTTAGTAAATTAATGGGTTTAGCAGTAATTGCATAAAAATCGATTTTTTTTTTTTCGCATACTCTCATTTGTTACAGCTTAAAACTGGACTACGAATTTTACAAATAACATTTGGAATTCCATTTTCATTCATTATGTTTTACTAAAAAAGTATGCATTTCAGAATGTTTCTGAAAAATAATGGTGTGAGTGCAGTTTTGCTGAATACTTTAAGTGTCTTGATGTCTATAAATTTTCAGAGTAGTTTTGTGTTTACAAACAGGCCCACATATTGTATCTCCAATTTATGAAGTAGACGAGATATCTCGTAAAACGATTTGCTAACTACAAATCTAGCCACCCCATGAGCAAGTCATATCAAGAGTCCATGTTAGTAAACATGTGACGTCAAGTCTTCTTTCCAATCCAATCAGCAGGCGCCGAGGATCTGCACTGCATTGACTTCACCTCTAGCGAACAAAAGGACATCCGTTTTACCACTCGTCTTTGTGTCGAATGCGCCGCAAAATTTGGCACAGCCAGGCTCTTGTCCTTTGCCAAACTGGCATAGTACCCATTCATATACTGGGATGGCATAAGGCTCGCAAATTAGAGCCTTCCTCTAATGTATGCCAAGAAAAGGCAGGAAGGGCTTCCGAACTCATCATTGTTTTCTAGAATATTGCTTAGAAGAAAGATGCAGTTAAACCAAACCAGCCCAGTGATGTGATTAGCTTGTCTTCTGATAAAACATCTTTAAATTATTAACTGCCTGGCTAAACAAAATGGAATCCATAAAGAAAAATATCTTCTTTCGATTTAAAATTGGAATTCACGCCTCTTAACCGCAATACACGGAAAATAAGCTAAAACCCACAGTAACCATGCAAGAATGCCTGATAACCTTCGCTTGATCGTTATGTAATGATAGCAATGGGTTTGTATGAATTTGCTTATTATCACAAATTTTTTCTAATATAATTACTTGGAAGATGATAGTTGTTTTGCCCATAATTACTATAGATGAAGATGGTGGAAAAGCTAAATAGTAGTATCTATAGATAATATAAGCATCAGAGTACTAAAGAGTTCACGAATTGTAACGATTTTGTTACAATACTGGAATTTTTAAAGACTAATAAAAATTTGTTGAAAAAGGAAATGCATCTGAAAACTGGGGCACGCTTTTAATTATTCATTAAATTAATAGTATATATATATATATGTATGCTATTATATATATTTAAGTTTTATATGTCTAGATTAAGATCTAAGATTAAAATGGCGCCGAAGTTTGTAAAACAGATATATAAATTCATTGACAGTCAGTATTGTTCATGTTTATAAACAGCGAGTCTAAGGGCTAAAATCTAAATAGATAATCATTCAAAAAGTAAATATGTACGGCTGAAATATTAACTCGAAATCCATCATTTTACGAGGCATAGAGAATTACTTTAAGACATGTTTGGAGAACAACTATTTATTTTCCATAGATTCTTTATTACTAAGTTTTAAAACATCTTTCGCTGGCAGA